CAGAATGTGAAGCATGCTATACAGAGGAGAGCAGTAGATAGGTGAAGATCAAAGTGAATGAACATGAACTATGCACGAAACGTCCACCTAGAAATGAAGTAGAGTTAAAAAGTCTAGAAAAAAGATCGGCTATAGCAGTGCATGCGATAGACAGCGGACATAAGATTGATTTCGACAATGTCGAAATTCTTGGAAGAGGATTTCATTCACATAAAGAAATGCTGACCTCTGAAGCCTTACACATTTTAACCACATCGAATGCAGTGAATAGGAAAGAAGGGATAGACTTATCACCTATATGACAAACTCTTCTGAAGCAAGATAGATGAAAAAACAACAAAAACTCTATGAGCCTCCATGACCTTTTAAAAAAAATTAATTATCATATTTATCACATGTGAATTGACGTCTTTCCATATGACAAATAACATACATACACACTCATACAAAACTAATCCTTACAAATCAAATATAGAAAAATATACACAATAACAATTCGACATTAGTCATTGCAAATATGTGATGACTTCTTACATATTTCTTTTGGTAAAAATGTCCTTGTAAAAAATGTAAAAAAACATGACCTTCAAATAACTGACTTCAATTTATGTAAAAGATTGTTGACTATATATTTTGATGATTAATAAAAATCCGAATAAATCTGCTGAAGAAGCTGTGGCTTCCACAGCGAAACGTTCAGAAAAATCTTGTTTTCATTTTCTTAAACACGCTGGGATTAATTCCAATAATTTATAATGAATCAGTCTGACTCGGCGCTCAAATTATTCCAGGAAGATCGTAACATCTACGGTCTGTTAACTTATAAAAAGGTTACAGTTCATAAGATTGAGATTCGCTCAGTGAGTTGAGAACACTGAATTAGATGACTAATTACATGTAGTCAAAATCAAAATTCATTTCCCAAGGAAATGAGAGACTAATCACACTCTCTTTCTGTAGGCATAAGCCTGGTTTGAATCAGACTATTCATACTATTATTATTTCATGTATTCACACCTTTGAACTAATTCCCTCACCGGATATAATTTTTATAAAAACCATAAATATTAAATAGACAAAGGACAGCAAATTTACTACGCTTTGTCGAAGCGATCGCAATCAAACGATTTAAACCAGACTTATGCATACAGAAAGAGAGTATGATTTACCTCTCAATCCCTTGGTAACTGAATTTTGATTCTGATTACATTAATCAGTCATCTAATTCAGTGATCTCAACTCACTGAACAAATCTCAATCTTATAAACTGTAACCCCTTTTGTTTTTTGAGTTGCTATGTGAACCTACAAGCTAACAGTGCTTGTTAATTCTTTCTGCTTTCTGTCTTACCCCTCCCCCCTCTTTTCTACTTTGAAAGCGTATAAATTGATGATGAAAACTTGGACTAAAAATTGTAATGCCTACATTTAGGATGCCACAGTTTTATAGTATTTCTTCTCAACTACCACTTGAACATTAAAGTATGTTATTATCATCTGCATAACCGTTGTAATTTCAGGTAGTCTGCAGCTGATGAGAACCTGTGAAATAGAATGATATCATTTTATACTGCGAGTTTCGTATTCCTTTCTTTATTGAAATTTATCAAGGGAACCAAATGTATGATGGTTCATACTTTCTTAACCTAAGTATTCCTAATCAATTCTAATCATTATTGTTATCCTGATTGCTCCTGATGACTACATCAAATAGTCAAGAGGTCATTACTTCAACAGATATGCAATGACCATACATTAAATATCTTAAAATGTGATAGGAAACAGGAAAACTTGTTCACTCTGAGTTCGTATTTATGCTTTACTGTTCGACAAGATGAGTCTAAGTCAATCAGTGTTGATAGTGCACAATGCACGGTAATTGTAACTGAGAGTAGTTTTTTAGCTGTAACAATAAGATTATACAGGTGTAATGGGAAATGTGCCTCGAGGATAGGTGGGGATAGGCCACAATGCAAGTTCAACACTCAAAAACTGAAGGACACAACCACAAAGGACATTTTCATTGCAACTGTCAGAGCAAAGCAGGAAACACTACGTGACATCACAGAGGAATCATGCGTGGAAGACCATTGAAACTTTCTGAAGGTGATTTTTAACGAAACTTGTTCAACGGTTTTAGGAAGAAAGAAGAAACAAGACAAGGAATGGCTCTCAACGGACACTTGGAAGCTAATAGAGGAGAGGAGAATGGTGAAAGAGAAAATGATTCAATGCAAAGATGGACAAGAGAAGGAGATGCTGAGCTCAACTTACACAGCACTGGACAAAGAAGTGAAGAAGAGTGCCAGGAAGGACAAAAGACAATTCTACGACAACCTGGCCACTGAAGCTGAGAAGGCAGCAGGCAAAAGGGACTTGAGGACACTATATCAGATAACCAAGTCTGTATCCGGGAAGAGATCAGCACAAATGAAACTTATAAAACACAGCCAGAGGAACCCAATTACCAAGGAAGAAAGACAGATTAAACAATGGGCGGACCACTTGAAAGGACTCTTGAAGCGACCACCACCTGTAACCCGTTCAGAAATACCAACAACAGCACGTACACAACTGCAAGTTGACTCCTATCCTTCAACGAAAACTGAAGTCCTGAATGCAATCAAGCTTCTGAAAGCTGAAAAAGCAGCTGGACCAGATGGAATACCCCCGGAAGCACTGAAAGCGGACCCAGAGACGACAGCAGATATGCTGACTGCATTATTGCAAAAGGTCTGGAAGGAGGGAAAGGTGCCTACTGACAGAAAGAAAGGTTACCTTGTGAAACTACCAAAGAAGGGCGACCTAGGACTCTGCAAGAACTGGCGAGGAATCATGCTCCTGTCGACGCCAAGTAAAATTCTGAGTCGCATCATCCTGGAGAGAATAAAGGACGCACTGGATACAGAACTTCGATCAGAACGAGCTGGGTTCAGGAAAGGCAAATCATGTTCTGACCAAATTGCAACTCTACGCATCATCATCGAACAAAGCATGGAATGGCAATCAAACCTCTACCTCAACTTTATAGACTTTGAGAAGGCCTTCGACAGACAGCGTTGACCGTGAAGTAAATTGGAAACTACTCAAGTACTACGGCGTACCCCAAATCTTCATCAACCTTATTCAACAGCTGTACGACAACGGCACATGTCAAGTGATCCACAACGGAAAACTCAGTGAGGCGTTTGGAGTAAACACAGGAGTCAGACAAGGGTGCTTATTATCACCAATGATGTTCCTGATTATGGTGGACTGGGAAACGAGAAGACAGGGATATCCTGGACCACCGACGTGAAGAACCTAGAAGACCTGGATTTCGCGGATGATTTGTGTTTGATGTCACACAAAACCGAAGACTTACAAGCGAAAACCGACAAACTGGTCGAAGAAGCAGCAAAGACAGGACTCCAGGTGAACATAGACAAGACGGAGGTTATGAAAATAACCAACCACCACCAACAACAACAGCAGCAACATCCAGCGCCAATCACCATCAACGGGAGGGATTTGAAAGAGGTTACTTCTTTGACTTATCTAGGGAGCATTGTCTCAACTACAGGAGGAACGGACGAGGATGTCAAATCGAGAATCGGGAAGGCGAGAAACACATTCATCAAATTAAAACCAATCTGGAAATCTCCGTCACTCAGCATCAACAACAAAATTCGGATTTTCAATACAAACGTCAAGTCAGTTTTGCTGTACGGAACAGAAACTTGGCGGGTCACAAAGAATATTTCCAACAGCCTGTTGCAGACCTTTATCAACAACTGTCTTCGTTCTATACTGAAGATTAGATGGCCGGAAAGAATCACCAACAAGAAACTATGGGAACAAACAAAGCAAGAACCAATCACTCAACAAATATGCAGGAGAAAGAAGTGGAGATGGATTGGACACTCGCTGAGGAGGCCGCTGGGTGACATCGCGTCAGGCCCTCGAGTGGAAGCCGAAAGGGAAGCGGCGAGTGGGACGTCCAAGGGTGACATGGAGGAGATCGTGTGATGAGGAATTGAAACAGTATGGATTAACATGGATGCAAGTAAAAAGTACAGCAGAAGACGAAGCAAGTGGAGGCGTGCAGTTGAAGCCCTATATTCCACTAGGAACCCAAGGGAACAATAATAATAATAATAATGGGAAATGTCGTTTTAGGATACGGAGAAAGATCTAAAAAATTTTACTACATATTGTCTAGCAAATTAATGATCAACTAACTGTTACATTGTACGTAAGTGGTTCAATAATATAATGCTTTCCAACCACATACATGGTACAGGTTTAAATTCCTGCCGATACCCTGCTTAACCTCGTCTGGTTCACTAACCAACAGTTAACCCGGACTGTGGAAAGGTTAGACGTAAGGTTAGGCATTCCACCTCTTAGAATACTGCACTACCGTTACTTAAACTTCCCACTTCAAAGACTGGAGCCACATATTCCGCTTGGAACTGAAAGAATGAAAACAAAACTTTTGCATGTAAACTTCACTTTGACTTATGATAATTATTTTGAAATAGTTTTGGTCACACGGACGATAATTTTTCTTAAGGATATTACTGACTGTTCCTCATGAAGGTGAACAGTTTGGAACCATAACTACCTGGAATCGTCAGCTTTATAAACTGATTGGTTCAGTTTACACACATACTGCAGTCTTATCTAAGGCTATAATAGATAAAATATCCGTATTGAATACATATGTCTGATGAATATTTGTCACATGTGCACAGGAAGAATTAATTAAATTAGTGAATATTTTTCCACACCACACTGTATACTGTGTAAGTGCAGTGAGAATGTATTAACCAAGATAATATAAGATGGTTAGATAATTTCTGTGTTTAAATCCACTTCACAGTTAGCAGAAAATAAAATGAGGCAGAAGGATTAGGAATCGTTAAAATGTAACTAGTCTGTGATGGACATAATCGGTGTTACCTATTCACCAATAATAAATATGTAAAAAGTAGCAAAACTTAATAGATTAGAACTTACCAGACAGTAGGCTAATTAAAGCGTTAACTGATCCACCGAATGGTGCAGCCACTGAAATATAACTTCTAATATATTTTTCTTTCCATTTATAAGTTTGCAGATCTAAAAAGTATTTTGTATACAAACTGCCTAAACTGTGAGCAACTAGAACAACTGAACGATTCAATCCATTTGTATAGGTTTCTTCAATTAAGGCTTTAAGCTTTCTCATGAATACCTTGTTTTCATCTATTAGGAAAATACAGGAAATACAAGAGGGAATAGATTAATACACAACTTATGCATTGCAAAAATGACAGCTTACTTGGAGCCCGACGAAAGTCATACGGTGCACCGCGTACAGTGAAATTCGATATATAGTAAGCATCTTCTTTCAGCGTTTTCACTAAATCATGAAAGTAATGTCCTAGACTATAACCATCAGCGTTATAATTCTCCAGTGGCTGAGTATCACCCCATCCTGGGATGGTCACCTTGCAGACATCGTTGTCAACTGACTTCTTTTTAATAGGATCATATTTCATGCTGATTTATAATAGGAAGAAATTTAAAAAGTAAAATGAAATAAAATGAAAAAACATGGCAATAGAAGCGGCTATCACTTACTGAACTAAATAATTTACCAATGATGGAAATGCCATATTGAAGACATTTAGCCATACAGGGAATGGTTCAGCTTTAAATTTTTTTGGCTTACAATACACCTGATTACCACCTATGCCGGGGATTAAAACAACCGGATGTTGGACAGAAGGTCTACTATCAGGTTTCGATAGTAATAATACTTTTCTTCCAAGTGAAAAATAAATATTTTCAGTAATTATCTAAAAGGATAGCAGGTTAACTTAGATGAAAATATACTAATAGAAAACAAACTGTTAGTAGAATCATGCAACAGATGGTCCTTATTCCGGTGGTCATTTTCAATGTTACAGTGTAAAAATACAAATGATACTAACAATAACAATGATAATGTTGCTTAGTTCGCTCTGTCTATTTATCTAATTTAGTATTCGATTATATATATATATATATATATATATATATATATATTGAAGTGGATAAGTGATTATTAAAGTACTAGAGGGTGAGATGTGAATTTAAGGACTACGTGTTACGCAAACAAAAAGCAATTAAATATTATACGATAAGAAAATGTTTGCAGAGATTTACTGATTTAAAACACTACTACTACTACCATGAAGATTATCACTACAGTGAGCAAGTGATTAGTGTATATACGTGTACATTCATTCCTTTGTGTTTCGAGAGGAACGCAGGGCTGCCACGTTCAGCTTAGAAGTTCCATTAGTGATGGTGTATTTATTTACAGAGTGGCGTGGTCAGTCTCACGCCAATCCTTCCTTCTTCACTAAGTCTGTGACCAGCTAGGCGAACTTCATGGATGTGTCAGCCGGTAATCCAAGTCAGACCCCAAGTAGATGTTTGGAGGGCATTCTACAACTGGAGCACTGACGCATTTCAGTGAAGAAGTTATAGAGACAGTATGTACAGTTAGTCACTCTAGAAACTGAATTATCCTCATATACATGAACTGAGAGTGGATTTGAACCAGAAACACTTTTTATTTTAATAAGTTCTCTTCAGGTTCTTACAGTTTTATAATAAATTTTGACATTAAAATGTGGATAGTTACAGGACATACTTAATTCAATAGGGTTAAACAAGCGGGATGAGTAACAAGTGAAGGTGAAGCAGTTTTCTAACATGCGACCTCCGAATTACTGGTCGCTAAGTCACCATGAGTGCGTCGATGGCACAGCGGTAGAATGCTCGCCAACCACACATGTGGTTCGGAGTTTGGTCCCCGGCCGACGCACTCCTTTACCTCACTAAGCCAGTAATAAGACAGGCTAGCAACCACATCCCGTAAAAATCAACACCACTGCCACCGAAACTTCAAGCCTCTAACTTGAAGCCCTATGTCCAACTGGGAAAGTAATGGAATAAAAAAGTCACCATTCACTAATCCAAGGCTATCCCAGATGGTATCACCACTAAGGCTTGAATAGATCATCAAGATTCCCTATACAACCGGTTAGTAGTCATAATAGATTAATCAGATACTATTTCAGGTATCTGTTAGACAGAAAAGCACTGACTGAATTACAGCATCTTATTATTGTTTATTCCTTGAGTACCGAATGAAACATTGGCTTCGGAGGCACGTAGCTGTTCCACTGTTTTCCATAATATTACCTTCAGCTAACACCACGACCGCCTACTAGCTTTCATTTTCATACTAATTGATCTCCGCAGTGTCGCCTTCGAACGCCAAACCCATGGCTTCACATTCCCCTTCACCTTGAGAGTATGCTTCACTTTTAATGTCACTGAAAGTTCTCCTCAGTCTATGCCCAATTCAACTTCATATCCTTCTGCATATTTGCGGGGCGATGGGTTGCTGGCTGTTTGGGTGCCTGGCAGAGTGCTGTACTGCTAGGCTTTCATTTCCATTTTTATTCACAGTATAGCATACTCCTTTTATTTGCGAAGTGAATTCACTGCCTAGATGACGATTTTAAAACAAGAATACCTATATGTACTCAGCAAAGTCTACATATAGTGTTCTCTATGAAGGCATAGATAGACTTCTGAAGGAATAATTGATTAAAACTCTAATAGTGGGCTATTTACTGTATGCTTTTGGACATAGCTTTTCTGAAGGGGTTACAGTGTCTTCTGAGATTTCATACTAAAAACGGTATTTCTTAATGGACAGTTGTGGAGAATCGATAACCATCGTGGACATCAGTAACAGATTCCAGGGTTACTTCATTGGCTGATTTAAACCTCATGGATGCAAGTTAATTTCATTGATAAGTCCAGGTAGTGCAATTCTGTTTCTTTCAACTAAGTGAATAGCAATTTTAAATGCACCATGTGTAAATGGTAGCATAAATTCCTTTTTGAGATTGATTAGACAGACGACTGTGTCGTCATCATCCTACCATTAACCATTATCCTCAAATATGTAACATACATTTGTAGACTTAGCTTGGAATAGTTAAGTAAAAGCGAAAGTCACACTGTCACAAGCTAAACTAAACCACAAGAAACTACAAAAGTTCTGCGTGAATATTTCATGTTTAGAAGAGAGAAAAAACAAACAAATTCCATCTGAAAAATCAATATTGCCGTCATTATGATTAGGTCATTCAGAATTGTGAATATCACTGATTTCATTGTATGTTTGTTGGGGGGTGCAATCATTGATTTTCATTAAAACAAGCAAAAAAAACTATGTTTTAATGATACTAACAACGAATTCTTATTTAGTTCAGAAGTTGTTTTTTTTTATTGAGACTAGCACAAAGGGTCTAGTGTATGCAATCACATGAATGTTGCCTACTTACTGCTGAACAAGAAAATTTGTGGCGTAGAACTCTCTTACTCTCTCTTTTCTTCTCTAATTGTCTGTATCGGCAAACTGTCAAGCGGACCAATAGTGTCAGGTTGGTTAGTCTAGTAAGTGTGAATGTGAACTTATTCTAAAGTCAGGATTAATGGACTGAATCACTTTTTTGCACTATTTCAGTTTAAATTATATCACTCTTCTTTTCGATCCTTGGCGCAAGGTGGAGTCAATCTGCCAAATGCCTTGCTTGACTTAAGTTTCGTGTTTCTTGGCACTCATCCAACGAAAAGGTGTATCCGCAGATTTTGAGGAGACTTGTGTTCTAAGGATTAGTCACTCTATGGTAAGACGATGTAGTCATGTAATCTGAGGAAGACTGATTAAGATCTACCGATCAGTTATATATTATGGCCTTCAACCTAATTCGGATGCTTCACATAAATAGCATATCTATCACATATGGGTTCCTGTCTAACTGATAAGAGAGGAATTTGCTGCAGTCATCCATAAGTAACTTCATTTCTGGTGAAGTTATCCATGACAGTAAAAGATGTGAAATGAATGATATGTGGCTTTCTCAGGTCTGAGAAACAGGTGGTACTAACTCTTTCCACTCATTTATATATTGCATTTTGAAAACAGAATACTTCGGAAGACTGACATAACTCTGTCACAGTAAATTCGGTCTTTAGGGTAATAGTTAATAAGATCACTAACATGACATTTGCAAATCAAATTAACTTTTAGTTGTTATGAGTTTATATTCGCTACATATTAAAATATGGCCCGGAGTGCGTAAAACTATCGAGATGAATGAAAAAAAAGTGCGTCGGTGGCACAGTGGTTAGGACTCTCGCCGACCATGCATATGGTCAGGGGTTCGATCCCCTGCCGGCGCACACCCGATATCTATGGTCGGCCTGAATTTGGGCTACCGATATCCATGCTGAAAATTCCACCCTTGTACTGAAAAATACGGTGTGGAATCAAGCTGTAAATCAAAAATCAAAAATCAAAAATTCTGTAGCCTCACCTTGTTTGCTCTATGGAAACTTCAGAGTACAAAATAAAAAATGGAAAGACTCCTTAATTCGCCAGTGGATGACAACGGTGGGTGAAAGGCTACGAGAAACCAGTTCGCCCATATGCCTTATCTCGATGAAATGAAAAGCAAACACAGGGATATGTAATGTCCTCATGGTGTTTGCGGCTGAGAAGGCTGCTCAAATCGCAGAGGAAATGAAGGAATCTGCGAAAAAGGATGGGATCGGAACAGACAATAAAAATTGTTAACTAGGGAGTCAATAATCGACTTTCATCATCCAAACGACAACCTGGAATACATTGGGAAAGTGGCTATCATGATACCACCAGCAAGATTGTCGGCTGCCATGCCATGGGAAGCAGTCTAGCTTAGGGTCATGACAGTATTGTTGAATTCACAAAGAATGGAGGTTAGAATAATGCAATACTAAGTAATTACAGACAACGCAGATCAAGAGGAGAAAAAATACTTCCACAGATGTATGTAAATAGTAATTGACAAGACCTCATCTAGATGGCGACATCTAAATTCCAGTGGGTAGCATGAGTTCCAAACTAGGAGCAGACAACAACTCAAGGGAGAAATCATCACGGCTCAAGAGGAGCTCGCTAAAATGAATTTAAACGGAGGACTCTTCGTAGACTTACGAGCACCTAACGACTGAGTGACTGGAGGTAGTAATCAGGAAGATGTAGGCGCTAAGTAATATCACCGAGAAAAAACATTTGTGGTTACAACATCCCCCTCCCCCATGAAGTGACAAAATCAACACGAATGTGGTAAGCAATTTCATTATGTAAACAAACGTTGTTTTTATAATTTTACACACTTATCAAATCCAATAATCTACACCCGGTTTTGTTATCTTTACCAATTGGCCAATTTGACAACGCGAAAATCACTCCATGCTGAGGAACGATGATTAAGTTGCTATATATCTATGCTGAGATTTTGTAAATTCTGGTTTAATAATACTTTGATAAAGTTGTTATCATTAAATAGAGAAACGTCAGTAAAAATAATATCGTTTTGTTTTTCACTCATTGGGAAATACAAGAAAACCTTTATAATAATAAATATCATATACCCAATGCCAAAATTTTTTCAAACTGTTAAAAGTGAACTTGGTTTGGACATGTATGACTTGAAGCTATTCAAGAACTGGTGAGGAACCATGTTCCTGTCCACCTCAAGCAGGCCGCTTTATCTTGGAGAGACTAAAAGATGCCGCGGATGGAAGAGCCAGAATTCAGGAAAACATATCTGACCTGGACAAAAATGACGACACCGTGAACGGCCAAGAACGGTATTCAAATCCTTATGTCAACTTCATAGACTTTAGGATATCATTGACTGTTAAGGAATTCAACGAATGCTTCGAAAATTGTAAGTGAAGTAATGAGAACATTTATAGACCTCATCTACATGATAATGACGGATTCCTAGGTGTTTGGAGTGAAGGCAAGAGTGATTTTGGTAATATTTCAAGCAAAATTATTGCCCATAGTCACACAAACAAATATTTGGAATTGTTTTATCAAATCAAAAAGTTGATCATTGTGTGTAAACAACGACTGAAATAAA